CAGGGGAGAGGTGTGTGTGTGTGTGTGTGTGTGTGTTTGCCGCCGCTAAACCACCGTAGGTGCAAAATGCTTTTATGGCAGGAGGGATGAGTGTGTGTTTGTCTTTGTGTGTGTGTGTGCGATGAAGGCAGCAAAGGGGTCCTACTGGGCCAATCAACATTAATGAAATCAGGTGGGCCTGCATGTGTGTGTGTTTGTGGGAGTGCTTGGCTTGCAGAAGAGAGGGGATCTAAAAGGGGTCTAAAGAGGAGTGAGAGCTAATTAGAGTTCCCTGTCTCACAAGAGTGTGGATCAAACGCACAAACACACAACTCCAGGTACAGAGTGCACACTGTAGACATTCATTTATACACACACACACACACACACACACACACACACACACACAGCTTCAAGTGAAGGTTTTCAATGTCAGGGAGGACTGAGCACAGCTGGTGGAAAGACGACGGCGCGTGCATACTAACGCTGCCGCACTTGTGAGGACCGTCATTGGCATAATGTGAAGCTCCACTCGAACTTCCTGGCAACTTTTTTTGTGTTCTAACATCCTGAAAAGTCTGAACCGTGTTCCCGCTTCAGGTGGACGGTGCCGCATGACGATGGTTTGGATGTAATGACGCCCAACTCACAGTTTGGTAAGCAAGAAATGGAAAACACAAAGAACAAGTTCAGCTTGTCCTCTCTAAACAAACAAATCAGTAAATATCCATATAGAAAGTTAAATTCCCCTGAACTGATGCTCATACTCAGGTAGAGGTGTATGTTTTCAGTGGACTTTAAAGTGCTTACTTTGTAGTTAAACAGTGGTTTGCTGAGCCAACATGGCTGGTTTTCCTGATAGTATTAGTAATAATGGCAGTGTAGGTGTTTAAATGAAATGTACCTTGGTCTGAGTTGTTAGCAAGAAGCTGCTTACAGGAGGTGTGTATACATTAGTGCTGAGCCTTAATGTTCATACTGAAAGTCTGTTGAGCAAATATGTGCTGTCGTCCTGGTTTAGGAGGCGTTTACAGCTGGCATTAGAAGAACAAGACTCACACCAGATGCTCAGGTTCACATCCTGGTTTTCGTCTTTGGTAAGATCCATCCATCCATCCATCCATCCATCCATCCATCCATCCATCCATCCATCCATCCATCCACCCATCCACCGCTTAATCCTCACTAGGGTCATGGGGGGCTGGAGCCTATCCCAGCTGACTCAGGGTGAAGGCAGGTTCACCTGGACAGGTAACCAGTCTATCACAGGGCTACACTTAGAGACAGACAACCAAGCACACTCACATTCACACCTACGGACAATTTACAATCACCAATTAACCTCAACATGTTTCTGGACTGTGTGGGAGGAAGCCGGAGAACCCGGAGAGAACCCACGCTGCACGGGGAGAACATGGAGACTCCACGCAGGAAGATCCCGGGTGTCCTCACCGGGACGTGAACCGGCGACCTTCTAGGTGCGAGGCCATGATGCTGACCAGGTGAGTTGAACCAGCCAAAAACATGGTTTAAGTTTAAGTGATGCTGCAGCAGACTTAGTTTTTCAATGTGAAGTCATCAGGGTCCTTCTGTTCAGCCATATCCGAGTTTGAGTCTGAAACTTTTTAAAATCCCAAACCACGGATATCTAAAAGTGTTTCTGTGAAAAGAAACCCACAAAAAGTGCATTGTCTTTATTGTATTTCGAGAACCATTGAAGCTGCTGTAATCTGTACAAGTGGATCTTGTACTGCTGGATGTGATATGTTGGAGACAAACCAGGTGTCAGTGACCAATATGTCAGGAATACTCGTAAACAAGGAGACAGATATCCAATATGGGCCTGTGGTTGTAGTTGTTGACAGTGACTTGGTGAAATGCTTGTGTTTGGTGATGTTTTATGTGTTTAAGTCAAGTAAAGTTTTTCACCATTTGTCCTTTGGTTTAGCTGATTGGCTATGAACCACAAATGTAAATGTCAGACCTAACGATGTTCAGCCTCAACATGTCTGTTGTGGCTGAATGTGGAATTTAACTGAGTCCCTTGAAAATGTAAGTGTTTTTGCAAATGAGTTGTGAGTAACGGTCATGTGTAGGAGTCCCGGTGGATGTGGTGGTTTTCAGTGTGTGTCAAAGTCATAAACGTATGGGGGAAAAAACTATAGAAATTGTGTTTGTTTGTCTTTTCTCCAAAGTGTGGATCAACGTCACACTGCAGAAGTATGGAACGTGGCTGCATTGAGTAAGTGTACCTTCACAGTCATTCATGTATGTAATTGTTAGGGTTTGATTAATAGTAATAACGACAACACACATATTGATACATGACACTTACAGGATGGGGAAAGGAGCATTGAAAAGGAAGTTATGCGCTGTAGGCAGTGTTGAGGAGATGTGCCTTTATGGATGTCTTGAGTATGGACAGCAGGTAGGTAGGTAGGCAGCAGAACTGTGGATCTGTTGAAGTTCCTTGAGTGTTTGGATGAAGTACTGTGGTAAAGGCTGTTGTAGCTGGGATGGGATGGATGTGTGGATGAGTTTCTGCAGCTGGGAAAGGGACGGATGGAGGCAGGTAATGCTTTAGTGATGTGGTTGATGGGTAAAGCTGATGGTTAGATTCCTGATGTGAGGGGAAGTGACTTTGGACCAGTTATGATGGTCTCACGAAGTTAGTTTGGAGCCGTGGCGTGATTTGTGGGATGACATCAGCAACATGGTGAAACTGAAGTCCTTGATGGTGCAGTATGGGAGAAGAACACCTTGAGAGAGGAGGATTGGTGTTGATCAACTGGTGGTAGGACTGGAACCAGGAGAGGGCTGTGCTGGTGATGTTAGAGATGATGTGTTGAAGGCAGCGCTGAGGAGGATGACAATGTGTAATTTGCTGGTGTCAGAGGAGAGAAGAAAGTCATTGGAGTTTGAGATAGAAAAGGGGAGGTTGGAGATGGGTCTGCAGTTGTGTAAAATGTCAGAGGTTAGTCCAGGTTTAGTAAGAATGATGATGATGATGATGATGATGATGATGATGATGATGATGATGACAGCTGCAAGTGTGAGACTGAGTGTGACGAACCCAGTAGATGTGGGAGGAGTTTGTAGTTGTGGTGACACAGTTGGACAGCAGGTGTTGATGAAGTAGGAGGGGATCCAGTTGTTGGTGTCATGAGGTTGGAGATGTCTGATGAGGAGGCTGGAGAGTACTGTGGTAGACAGGTTGAGGTAGGACAGGTAAGTTGAGGCTGAGCAGATGCAGAGGAGGTTGACTTGTGGATGGTGTGTAGGTTGGTTTGTAAGAATGATGGGAAGGAGACTGAGGGACTGGGAGCTGTTGAGCAGGGGGTTGAGGATTTGGTTTGTTTAGGTGACCAGAGCTGGACTGTAGTAGCTGATAGCAGTAGGTGGATTGGGCATCTTCGTGTAGATGGATGGATGGATGGATGGATGGATGGATGGATGGATGGATGGATGGATGGATGGATGGATGGATGGATGGATGGATGGGTGGGTGGGTGGATGGATGGATGGGTGTTGAGGGTGGGGAGGTGGACATGGTAAATGCTAAATGGTCTGCACTTATACGGTGCTGGTATCCAAAGTGCTGTACAATGTGTTAGTTATTCACCTATTCACACACATTCATGTAGCAATGGTGACAGAGCTGTCATGCAGGGAGCAAGTTTGGGTTCAGTGTGTTACCCACTTTGACTGTGGAGGGGCTGGGGATGGAACCACCAGCCTTTGTGATTGGAGGAGAACTTGTTCTACCACCTGAGCCACAGCTGCCTGGACATCATGTCCATGATGTGGGATCCAGGAGAGGAGGGGAGATGGAGAGTAGTTGGTGGAAGGGAATTATGTGATTGTGTTTTTGCTAGAAGGTGGGACTGTCACTGAGGATGTGTAGGTGTTAGGGAGACCAGTGGATCAGACCAGATCCAGGAGGTGACCATGGCTGAGGGAGGGGAAGTTGACATGTTGGATGTGTTTGAGGTAGCTGAGTATGTCTATGAATGTGGTGGTTGCTGTGGGTCCGGAAGTCAGAGAGGTTGGTAGAAAAAAGCCATGATGAGCTGTGTCATGTAAGGGATGTGTATGAGGCTGGTTGGATGTCTGTCTGTCTGTCTGTCTGTCTGTCTGGCTGTCTGGCTGTCTGGCTGTCTGTCTGTCTGTCTGGAGCGGTGATGCCACAATTTCTGCCTTTAGAGGTTTGTCATGGTGTGTGTTTGGTGTGGGCAGGTTGAGATATTGTGTGTTTCAATCAGACAGAGGAAGTTCAAGTGGATGTCCAGTTTACTGAGAATGTCCCTGTTATTGGTGAGCTTGTGGGCATTGAACAGTGAGACTTGTATGTGGTTTGGATCACAGATGAGGTGGGTGCACAGGTGTGTTGTTGTGATGATGTCATGCAGGTGCAACCAGCTGACCACAGTGACTGAAGTGACAGTAGAGGTTTGAGAACTGAAGTCATTGCAGTGGGTGAGCAGAGAAGTTAAAAGTAACACCTGTAATGAGGTTAATTGTAGAAAAAGTAAGAGTGACATGAGCAGCCTGTAAATGGGAGGAAGCAAAAACAAGATAAGACTTAACGGAAGTATCTGTACTTTAGCAACTGAAGCGACTTCACACTAAGGAGATAGAAAGTAGCTGAACTTTGTTTCATCAGAAGAGGTGAAGTAAATGAACAGCACGTGGCAAAATTGAAAGTTGTTTTAATGTAGCAGCCCTGACTGTATGTGCCAAGACATCCATAATGTGACAATGTGTTGAACTCTGTGTCAGTCAGGATGAAGGCGATGAACAAGAGGACAAACTGTTGTTGTAGGAAGACGGATGAAGTCTTTGCTCATACATGTACAGTGTGGAGGTGCACATCAAAGAGGGGCCACAGAGTCTGCTTCATGTCTGCACTAATGTCGACACACACATGTGCCTGCCATGTGTTCGTGTGTGTGTGTGTGTGTTCGTGTGTGTGTGTGCGCCTTTGAACACACTTGTGCATGGGGTTGTGTGTGTTCAGGTACCTTGTACAGCGACGTTGTCTTGCTGGTTTCCATTAAGTTCGGGTTTGTCCTCGGCTACAGCAGCGTCTGTTATGAAACGCAAAGACAAGACAGAGTCTCAGTGGGTCGGCCCATAAAAGCCCAACCTGAGAGCCTTGTAACTGTGAGCAGCTTGAAAACAAACATGGGAATGAGTGTTTGTCCTGGAAACTACAGCTATGATGCGAATTGTAAGGGCATGTAAGCATTTTTCTCATCTGTCACTTCATTACGTCAGAAGATGGGTTAAAGGTTTGTTGTTAACACGGCGGATGTGTTGGTAATGCTTGTAAAATGTAAACTGAAATAGAAGTGAGTGACATAGGGTTGATCATGTATGCATGTCTGTAAAACTAGGTTTGAGATTGTCTGTTGTTCTATAGTCTATGATGTGTTATTGCAAAGAGTGTTGTAGCTGAAAGAATGTACAGGAAGCAGAAATGAGTAGCAGAGGAGTTGAAGTGTTGTCTCTTCTTTTATTGAGTCAGAGAAGTCAGGATGTGAATGGTGCCTGTCATGACTGTAGTGTAGGTATGTGATGAGTGGTGTTGGGGTCTTAGCAGTGTAACATATAAACGACATGTAGCTGTTGTAGAACTGTATGTCTTCTGTGTTCAGGTTCTTGGCATTGCTGTCATCAAGGAACTGTGATGTTGCAGCAGGAGAACTGCACCACATCAGGTCAAGACTGTGAGCTGTGGTTGGTGGGATGTAGGTGGTGGGTAGAGTGTGAGTGTGAAGGTGGAGGTCTGTGGGGCAAGTCTACACAGTGTCAGTGTGGGGAGCATCGTGCCTCCCCAGTGTTTTCTAGAGGTGTAGGTAGGGGGTTGTGCTACTGACATTTGTGACCAGTTGTTGGATGTTGGGGTGTGACACCGCGGTATATGTGTGATACAGTCTTGGATGTTGTGTGTAATTAGTCGACACAAAAATTCCAAATGGTGTCACTTATAATGCAGTGTAACACCCCCAACGCCAGAGTACTGCAGGTAGTTTGTTCATTGCCCACTGAACCCTCATGTGTTGTGTCCTTTCATCAGCCCCACTGAGCTTTACAGACGTCTGAGCAAACATGAATAATGTAGGCGCTAGTGGTTTCTATGTGGGTAGTATTGAGACTTTTTTGGAGTGGAGTACTTCCTGTTGGAGATTCAATTAGTGGGTCTGTCCTTCTATTGGTCGGTGGCTGTGGAAGGGGTGGGTCCAGCCCCAGAGCTCCTGGGTATTTAACACAGTCGGAGTCCTGGAGCGTCAGCGGAAGCGTCAGCCCCTGGAGTCAGACCTCATTGTGTGAAGACCGAATTGGGTAAAGACCTGCGAGTCGACCTGCGCGAGTCCACCGAGCAGAGGCACCGCCAACGCCACACCACTCTCTTCGCACAGGTAAGTGCCTCAACCTTTCCTCCATTTTCCATTTCCAGGTTATACACACACTTGGCATGCCACTATGGTATAATCACAGGTGATGTGTGTTTGTGTAATGACAGAGGGCGTGGCCTGCACTAATCAGCACCGTATATAAAGGGGAGCACAATTCTTAGGTATTCTCTCCACTTCAAACACCACAGACTACACACAAGATCTGAAAAGTCACCGTTTGTCACACGCCTTTCAGAGGGATGCAGGACTCTTCTACATAGCTACATTCTTGACACATACTCACCAAACTACCTCCTGGTTTTGTTGCACATAGCCAATAAGAACCAATTAACCACCAGTGCTGCCACTGCTGCTTCAAGACATGCAGCCTGGTACATGGCCCCGGTAAGGAAGGTAGAACCAGCACTCAGCAGCACTCATCACTTGAAACATCACACCTGGGCCAACACATCTCTCTGCAGACAGACTGTTCAAAGGTTTTATCCGCAGATGACATGAGAGTGACTCTTGACAGACCAGATGGATGGGCCCATGGCTGGATGACTAATGGACACAGAGCTCCACTTCAAGTCTGGCACCAGCAAGGTGGAGGTGGGCTGCAGCTACCGGCTACTCTTACGAAGGATGACTTGTATGGACCTTTTCAGGTTGAAGAGACACTTCAAATCAATCAACTCACAACACCACTGCCAGTTTTTAAGGGATACTTCTTTCAAACAAACAGTGTTAAAGGAAAGGACCAACTCCACATGTCTCCACAAGGCCTTGACTTGTACTCCACACAATGCCCAACCACATACCTCTAAGAACTCCACACTTACTTTCATAACCAACACTGACTACATTGGTTGCACATTCTTTGTTGCAATGTTTCTTTGTTATTCCTACCTTCAGAAATGACAATAAAGACCTACCATGGCTCATTTTGGTGATTGCTTTTCTGCCCCATTTCACTGCCTGTTCACTGCACATGGAATGTACACACATATCCTGCCTCACCCACCACGTGCTGCAGTGTTCTCCAAGGCTTTGGACAAGACCCAAAAAACAACAACACAGCTGCTACTACAGAAAATGCAACCCTGTAAACCTCCACCCCCTTACAAACACCTCCATTACTGGCTCCTTGGCCTATGGAATTGCCACTTGCTTGTCCACCAAATACATTCTCCCTAAACAAACACTGGTTAATTCTTCACATATTCAGGTACACACCCTAACCACACCAACCTGGCAACTTCATACTTGGACTGGACTCTCAGTCTTTCAGGACTGTGATACAACACTTGATATGCATATCCACAAAGACACAACCACCAGAACTGAACCATCTCTGCATTCTGCTAGACAGTCTTCACCTCTACTACTAATACATATGTCGGCAGCCTTTCACACACTTAACCACCACATCCTCTGTCTCACAGTCACTGAGCTTGGCACCCCCACATCTGCCCTCCAACAACATAGCATCTCAGGGTATCCTCCAGTGGAGAATCAAACCACAACACCTATCCATACAGGTTCCTCACAACTCAGTACTCTGTCCCTTCCTCTTCTCAAAATACACAACCTCACTTGCCACAGCAATCCACACACCATATGCTGATGATACCCAGCTCTTCCTGTCATCCCCCCCACCAACCTCACAGTCCCTACCCAGATCTCATCATGCCTTGCATATATCTCAACCTCTCCAACACTGAGCTCCTTGTCATCCCGGCCACTCCCTCTCTGCAACAACAAATCTACATCCAGCTTCATTCAACCCAGCTCAACTCAAACCAAAACAACCCACTCTGCCACAAACTGGGGTCTCATGATTGATGACCAACTAACATTCAAGACTCATGTGGTCTTCCTTGCTCAATCATGTCCATTTGCCCTGTACAACATCAGGAACAGCAGACCTTTCCTGTCTACACATTGCTGATCCACAACACTACAAGGGTGTCTTCTCTCACATAACTTCATTTCACTTTACTCTGGGCACACTGCAGTAACCACCTGAGGCATTCTGGTGGACTGTACAGTTTGGTGGTGACTGCTGAAACCAACCAACCAACCAACCAACCAACCAACCAACCAACCAACCAACCGACTGACGGATGAACCAACCAACCGACCCACCAACCGACCCACCAACCAACCAACCAACCAACCAACCAACCAACCAACTGCCTCAACAATCTCTACACTCAACAAGCATTCACGTTGTGCACTGGATTTATTACCAATGTCTTTCTTGTGTTCTGACCAAACACTGCAGTTCCTCTTCCGACTACGATACAAGCACAGAAGACACAAACAGGATCTTCACAAAACATCACTACATCCATTTCAACCCACAACACATATACCACTAAAACCAACAAAACATGCAACACAGCTCCTCACTGGCAGCCCTCCCCACATCCACAGTCAAACCTCTGCAGATGATCCAGAGCAGCAGCAGCAGCAGCAGCAACTTCTCTACCAGCCACAAACGGCTTCTCCTCTGTGCTTATAAATCACTACTTTCAATTCTTTCCTTTTATTACATCCCCAACTACGTACTGCTTAGGAGACACTTGCAACATACAAAACCAGGTTATGTCCACAGCTCCACATTTACATCAGCTGTAACAAACATCTCCTTCAAACCTAATCCTTTCCTGACAATCCTTACATGCTCAGCTGACGGACTAACATGTATCTGTAACTTACTGACAGATTTCCATCCACTATCTGTACAACACTTAATCCTCACTAGGGTCATGGGGGGCTGGAGCCTATCCCAGCCACCTTAGGGCAAAGGCAGGGGACACCCTGGACAGGTAACCAGTCTATCACAGGGCTACACTTACAGACAGACAACCAAGCACACTCACATTCACACCTACGGACAATTTACAATCACCAATTAACCTCAGCATGTTTCTGGACCATGTGGGAGGAAGCTGGAGAACCCACACAGAACCCATGCTGCACGGGGAGAACATGGAGACTCCACGCAGGAAGATCCCGGGTGTCCTCACCGGGACGCCAACCGGCAACCTTCCAGCTGCAAGGCAACAGTGCTACTATCTGCGCCACCCTGCAGCCCTCTGACAGAACTCAGATTACTTACCTGATCATTCCACTGCCATTGACTACAGGCATTCTTCTATCTACAACATTACATTCACTGTGACTTCATGACATCAATGACGACCATTACAACAACAGAAATCCTGCATCATGGGATATTGTCAGACCTGAATGCACTCCAGTACAATACAACCAGGTTCAATGTGTAGCTGTCACCTAGAAACACAAACAGCTACACTGATCAGTACAATACACCTGTTTAACATTATTCAACTAGCACCACTGTTCACCTTTCACCACAATTCCACACATTTTTGCCCGACTCAAACCATGACATCACACCGCAACAGTCCACACGGAGGACCAGTTAGTTGCTCACTCGCACACAGGAACTCAACCACAGCCTGATGTCAGTGAGCACTTGGTGCTGACACATGGAAGGAGTCCAGCTCCCACGGTGCAGATCTCTGGTTCCAGTCCACACAGTGTCCTCATATCACCTCACCAGTGTTTTGCAGAGGTCCAAGTAAAGGGCTATGCTGACAAGTACCAACTGACAATTTTGAGAAGCTGTTGGGGAGACCCACTTTGAACACACTTTGGATGTTGAGGTGCTACACATGGTACTGTTTTGGATGTTGTGCAGATTAACAACACATCAAATCCAGGACAACACCATCTCAACATCAAACTCGTTTTCAAACTTGGTCGACCCAAAAACTTCTCAAACACATCACTCGTACAACCCCCTACTTGGACCTCTCCACAACACCAGTGTGGTGTCATGATGCTCCAAACTCTGACACTGTGTGGATCTGAACCACAGCACACCACCTCAACCTCTCAATAGCACAAGCACTCTGTCTGTCTGTCTGTCTGTCCGTCCGTCCGTCCGTCCGTCCGTCCGTCCGTCCCATCACAGACACATCAGTCACACACAACATCTGCTGTAGTGTGATCTGGCTGCATATGCAGCATTTACCTTAGAAAATGCATCATTGCCTCAACATACACAACCTATTTCACTGCTTCTGGAAGCTGTCATCACATATTTGGGACCACATACTCCACTACAGCATCTACTTCAAGACATACACACTCACCACTGTTGTTACTGTTGTTGTTGTTGGCAGCGTGCAGCGGCTCCGGAGACGGGGAGGACGAGGACGAGTGCTTCAGGGCGTCCTCCACCCGCTCCCTCCTCTTGGACTCAAACTCCAGCGCCTCCTGCAGCTTCCTCTTGGCCTTCTTCTCCTTCTTCAGTCGCTTCTGGATGGAGGCTGCAACAGAATCACATTCACAGCTGAGCCACCTTCTCACTTGCCTCAACGTCCTGCACGTGTTCGCCCCTCCGCCGTTACCTCGGCTCTGTAGTTCAGACGTGAGCTGCCGTTCCAGGCTCTCCCTCATCTCCCGTTCTCTGTAGAGCTCCATCTTCAGCTCCCTCTTCTCCGCCTGGATCTGTTTGTCCTGCGCCCGGGCGTTTTCCACCGCCACCTTCAGCAGGCCCTGAGGACAGCACACATCTCCTCAGCAGCATGCACCACTGTGTTTGATCGTCTGACTGCTTTGTTCACTGCACAATGACGATTAAAGGAATTCTGTCTGTTCCTCATTACACATGCATCAAGTCTGTGTTTGTGCACAAACATTAACGTCCAAACAAATCTTCATCACTGAAAACTACGCTGCCCAACAAGGGTTCACACTGTCAGCTTCATACAGACTCGTCCCAACAGCCGTCTCCTCTGAGCAGCAGCAGCAGCACTCTGAAAATCACCATACATGACGATGACGAGCACCAGCAGAAGGCAGCACAGTCTTCTCCGGTCACTGTAATTAAAAAGTGGCTTTTCACAAGATCACTGGAGGTCACCCTCAAGTCTGTAAGACAAACCTTTCTGAAGCTCCACAATGGCAAGACAGTTCTATAAACACTCCCTGAATCCTCGTGTCAGAATCACAAGTCTGCGTCCAAACAAGCTCCATTTTTGGATGTTTTGGTTTTGGAAACAGGTTCTGTGAGACGATGATGGTAAACATTCCCATTTTCATGACAAGTCTCCAACTGTTCTGCAAGTGGCAGGTTTTATGGTCAACTGCTGGGTTCCGGATCATTTCTGATCCCACAATGTGAACCCCTGAATCCACAAGCTGAAGGCATCGCTGCCCCACAGTCAAGCTGAACCTCATCACCAACCTTCCACAGAGCACAACATGGAATCACCTCAGACAACTTGGAGGACAAATGCATAACAATCCCTCAAACATGGACCAGAACGACTCCTCACTGCTACACAAACAGGCTGGGATTCCCTCCAAAGACGGCGTTTCAACAGTAAACTCTTCCCTAAAATATTCCAGAAACCTTTCACTTTCATACGACACCGCACCTTCACAAACACTCACCTGTATGTTGGTGAGCAGAGTCTCCACCGATGAAAGGCCGTCGGCGAACAGGAACGGGGCAGGAAACCCAGGCGGCAGGCTTTGACCCAGCGAAGACTCTTCTGTTGGGAACACACGATGCGACTTTACATGTTTGTCTTTGTCTGGTGGAAACCGCTCCACAGACACAACCAGCAGCTCATCCTTTACACACACCAACAAAGCCACAAACCACATGACATACCAACTTCGCCTCATACTGAGTAGTAGTAGTAGTAGTAGTAGTAGTAGTAGTAGTAGTACTTGTTCTGACCAACCACCATCACACATGAGCCCTGCAAGTTCACCCAGCATGCACTTTGTGAAGTTTTCTCTAGTGTATGTACAGTGCTGTTTGACAGCTACATCGGTCAGAAACTCCCAACAAGTGACAACAATGTGACTGGAAACAAACTACAACTCTGTCATTACAAGTTTACAGAAGAAGGAGGAGGAGGAGAGGAATCAGGACGACGGAATAAGAAGCGTGAAGAGATGAAGATACGAGGAGAGGAGTTAGATGGTGGATGTAGATCTGCTGTGTGTTACTGGGTGTGTGTGTGTGTGTGTGTGTGTGTTTCAGTGCATCTTAATCAGCGTTAATTTCACAGCAGAGTTAACCCAGTTGTCAGTGTGTTGGGCATTAAGGGCTGAGCAGACACTGTGACGCACTCACAATGAACACACACCCACAAATCAGGGATGTCTTTAATCCAGCCAATTAGTGGCTCACATGAGCGTCTGAATACTAACGACCTCACCCACTCTGTGTGTGTGTGTGTGTGTGTGTGTGTGTGTGTGTGTTTGCTCTAATTGATTCCTCCGATGCTGCTCCGCTGCCTTTTATACCTTCGTGAGCATCGACGTTCATAAACTGACACTTCAGACTGATGGAAACCTGCCGTCACAAACACAAGACGGATTCTTACAAAACACACTCTGAAGGAACAATTTGATGCTAGAAGCCCCACAATAGAAACCTGATCTCAGAACATCTGGTTCTGGTTCTGCAGCACCTTCATCTACTGACCAGAGTTCTACCTTCACACTGTGAATGTTCCAGAGGTCCAGGTCCTTCAAGTCCACAGAGGGGGGTCCAGATTGATCCCTTTAATGGACTTTTTCCATCATTTCTGAGCCTCAGAACTTCATCAGTCACCTGGATGGATGTAGAACTGATCTGGTGTCAGGTTCTACCAGAACCCAAATGTGTTCTTCCTCCTAAATGTCATGTGTCTATCTGCTGTTCTGATGAAGTTCTGAGGCTCAGAAATGATGGACAAAGTCCTTTAAAGTGATCAATCTGGACCCTCCTCTGTGGACTTGAAGGACCTGGACCTCTGACGGGTTCAGGATGAGCTGCGTGTAGCAGGACATAAACAGAGAGGGAGGAAGTTAAAGCTGCACAGAAGAGGAAAGGAAGGATCAGACGTCAGTGACTCTGAGGTCCGTCTGTTTCTGACTCCACAACTTGAACGTATTCAATCAAAGCGAAGCAGCAGAAAGCGAACGGACACAATCTGGAGCCGCTCGGCCGCCGATGGAGCCGGCGAGGACGTGACGCTGCGAGGTCATCTCTGATCACAGCGTCGCTTTACTGCTCTGTTCTGCTCCTAATTGCTGCAATGCATCGTCCAGATGGAGGCAGAGCGTTCGGCTGTTGTCCTCCCCAGAGAGCCACGGCGACACTCTGAAGTTTCCTCATCAGCGGCGGCGGCGTGGATTTGATGGACGCTGAGGCTGGAGTTGTGCTGAAATCCAACTTCAACAGGCCTCAGCAATCACATCACTGTTTTAACTGCTCTCAGAAACTCTGCCGTGGATCTCAGATTACAATACTGAAAACCATTGATTTGCATTGATTTACACTCATCAACAACACAAGCCACATTTACAGCAGCTTCTGTTTACACGACTCTATCTGGGAAGATTACGGAGCTCAAACTATGTGTTTTATACGAACACATATCATTTAATGGTGTTACTTTCATATATATTTCATGGATTTCATGTTTTTGAATTTTCTCATCAGGTCTGCTTTAGTTCTTTTGGGGCAAAACCATAAATTTCTCTCTTTTTAAGCAGCTACTAAAACACTACTTTGCCTATTTTATTGGGAGCTCTTCACATCAGATGTATTTCCTACATATGCCAACACACACACAACACATCCATGTATCTATAAATGTTCTTCTTTCCTTCACAATGTTTACACATAACATTACTTTTTATTTCCTTTTTTTTAACCATTTCCATTACAAACATCAATATTTTTATCTTCACATATTTTGATAAAGTATGACGTTTTAGTTTCTTTTTAAATCTTATTCAACATTTCCAAATGTTAATTAACTCCTTTATTCTGGCAAATTCCTGATCATTTATTGTTTGAATTCTCACAGTAAAAAATACAACCAGAAAGGCTCAAAGCGTGACCAGCATCCACCACAACAACCTGTATTTTGATAATAAGCCTTTTGTCATCATCGACTGTTTCACTGCTTCTACATTTGCTCTACAACACAATCATTCTGCTCCGTTTTTGCCGCCACACTTTCAGTTTTTGATGGTCGTAGTTGGTTATAAATTAAAGCGACGGCTGATCCGCGTGCACCAGACGCTCGACTCCGCCGCCTGAAATCCATTTAACCCCCAAACTCGACTAACCCGAGTCGACTGGTCTCAGGCGGACCTCCGGCGGGTCTCAGATTGAGACCTCTGGTGCAGCTCTGCTCATTGATTTTTTCGGGGCTGCTGCAGCTGCTGATGTGTGCAGGGAGGAGTCGGACCGAGCAGACGTGTCAGAGGGATGGAAAACGCAGAGTGTGATGGAGGGAGGCCCCGCATGCTTTTAGAGCCTGACCCCGCGACCCCTTTTAGCCCGACTCCTTCACTTAGCCCCCCTCCCTCCGTCCGTCCGTCCGTCCTCCATCCATCCCCTCTGATTGATGGCTCACAGACAGCTGATCGATAGGAGGCGCAACATCCTGACGCTTCCCATTCGCTGTTTGTCCACGACTCTGTGTGTGTGTGTGTGTGTGTGTGTGTGTGTGTGTGTGTGTGTGTGTGCGCACGTATAAATACAGTAGATGAGGAAAACCCTCCTAAGTGAGGAGATTCATCAGCTGTCGACAGCAAACGGGCGAAGGTCTGGACTGAGGTGTGTGTGTGTGTGTGTGTGTGTGTGTGTGTGTGTGTGTGTGTGTGTGTGTGTGTGTGTGTGTGTGTGTGTGTGTGGTCCGACCTTTGTCCTTTGTGATTTTCTTGATGGGAGCCGAGCTGTTGAGTGAAACATCTGCATCGGCCGACACCAGTCCTGCAGAGAGGAAACAGGAACACACTCACATTACAGGTTCACTGTGAAACCAACAGGCCACAGCTGACAACAGTCTCTGCTTTGATTAATTACAACTGATTGTTTAGCACCTTTCTCTATGAAATGACACGTCGTCATATTTTCTCAGTAGGTCGTTAACCTCAACTGAAGTCGTCGTCATGGCGCCCGTTGTTAGCTACACTCCCACAATGCTCTCTGCTCACTGATCTACAAACTGTCTCTAACATGCCTGAGCTTCTTCTGGTTCTGGTTGAATCATTAAGAGCATTTAATCAGTTAACAACGAGTCATGAACATTCCTGCTGACTCATGATGTCTAGAATCAACACTTCAGTGGTGTCCAGTTGAACAGTATGCACGCTACCAGATATCCAGTCTCTGAACTGACTCAGTACAAGTTCAGTTCAGTCCTCTGATACCTAACATTTAAAGGATGAAAGACGCAGTGACTCACTCTGGGTGCACATGTAGAAAGACTTTGTTTGTTTGTTTGTTTGTTTGTTTGTTTGTTTGTTTGTGGTTTCATACCAAGTCTCTCCGGCGAGCTGGAGGCTGAGCTGCTGGGCTGCGACTGCAGAGGAGTGTTGGTTTCGTCCACCGACGGAGACAGAGAAGGACTGTCGCACACTCGCTCCTGAACACAGAGGAAAGCCCGGTTCTGTCGTGTTCTGTGGTTGGTATCAACTTACACAGCTATTCAGACATCCATCCATCCATCCATCCATCCATCCACCATCTCTACACCTTCATCCTCACTAGGGTCATGGGGGGCTGGAGTCTATCCCAGCTGACTCAGGGTGAAGGCAGGTTCACCTGGACAGGTAACCATCCTATCACAGGGCTACACTTAGAGACAGACAACCAAGCACACTCACATTCACACCTACGGACAATTTACAATCACCAATTAACCTCAGCATGTTTCTGGACTGTGGGAGGAAGCCGGAGAACCCGGAGAGAACCCACGCTGCACGGGGAGAACATGGAGACTCCACGCAGGAAGATCCCGGGTGTCCTCACCGGGACGCCAACCGGCGACCTTCTAGCTGCGAGGCCACGGTGCTAACCACCGAGCCACCGTGCAGCCCCTGTTCAGACATGAACACTTTTACTTCTGTGCTTCCTTAAAGCCCTCCACACTCTCCCAGCTGCACAAGCCAGGGAGGACTTGACCTGAGTCACAAACCAATAGCGGTCTAGTTCTGTGTAGCTCCGCCCCCTCGCTGCTGAACGAATCAGGATGAGCAGCAGGACACCCAGTGGATCACAACAGTCCAGAACTCAAAGATGTTTAATCTACTGATACAGAACAGAGCTGCAGCTCATTTTGGACTTTTATGCTTGAAAACGACAGGTGAATAGTGTTAGCTTAGCATTTAGTAGCATTATACATGGCAGTACTTTCATTTTATGAGACTACAGAAGACAGTAAAGTACTTTGAACTGAAGCGTTTCATCAGACTGCTGCGTCTGTCAGTGCTGTTAGTGACAAGTTCACATGTTCATATAGAATAAAACGGCCATAAAACCAAAAGCTGCTCGCTCTCTTTTTAAAACTGACAAACTAAAAACCCAAATTCACACCGGTGCCATTTAAACTTTAACTTGTGATAAACAACCCTGGTAGCCGTTGGTCACAAGTCCGCACACATTCTACAAGAATGGAAACTTCTGATCACAGTTCTTCCTACAGGAGTTCCTCAGGGCACCTGCTGGGATCCTCTGAGGTTTTGGTCTTTCTAAGTTACCTTGATGACGGGCGCGCGGTGCACGTGGGTGTGTATCTGCTGGGCCGCGGCGGCCATGTTGGCGATGGTGCTGAGGTGGTTCATCTGGGACATCGCCATGGCAACGGAGGCAGGCGGCAGCCCCATGGGCAGCAGGGGGTGGGGCATCATCATGAAGGGCAGGTCCAACCCTGAGAAGGACACATTTTGTCAGATCAGCCTTTAAAAGCGACAGCGGTTCAGTTCCAGACTTTTTAACGGACAACCACATGAAAACCTAAACAGAAACCTTCCCGACACTTTCCTAAGAGTCCACTGGTGTTACCAACGCTCACATCCTGCAGATGTTGAACCATCTACATGTTCCACCACGCTGAACGTACCGACAGCATCTGGTTCTGAGCCACGCTGCATTCGTCTTGTCGTTTGTGTCATTCTGTGTCTTGTTTGTCTCATTTTTGTGCTTTTGTGTCTTCATTTCATATTTTTTTGTGTTTTTTTGTCTCATTTCTGTCATTTTGTCGTGTTTTCCTGTTGTTTCGTGTCTCTTTATGCTCGTTTTGTCACCACATCCTGCTGATGTTGAACTATCTCCATGTCCCCAGATGTTTCCTCTCTGCTCTGCTCATCAGATGTAGAAAGATGTTCCTCCATCAGCTGGATGTATCTCCAACAACTGGCTCCTCGGTTTTAACTTCAGATTTGGTTTTTCTGAATGACACTGACACACAGATGCTCAGTCCAAGAACTGCTGGACAGTTGACAGTTCAGCAGTTCTTTCAGTTTCTCAGCGTTCTTGCTCTGATCAATGGTTTAAGCTGATTCTTAACTACAACCAGGTTCTGGGATCCACGGGTTTGACCTCTGAAGAACCGGTCCGTCACTTCCTCTTTCGTCCGGCCACTCGATCGGCGGCAGTGAAAGCGAGACAGCGACACGCTATCGTTTAGCGTCTGTGAACTCGTGCTGAACTTCACCTCGAGGCGTCGTCTCCGTTTCAGACGTCTCGCTAATAAACGTCCACAAAGACGAGGAATGAAAAGCGTGGAGGTCGGAGGGTCGGAGGGCAGAACCTCGTTCAGCCTCAAGTCCTCCATCTGCTGCTCCTGCTCCTCTGTCTGATCCGTCCTACACTGTTAAACCACACCAACAGGTTTCACCTGTTCAGCGCGTCCATCACATGACCGGTGTTCATTCACACGCTGCCACAGCATCATTTATAGACACTACTTCAGTCTTTTAGTCGATTTTAACTGCATTTAAATCATCAAACAGGATTACTTCACAAATATTTGCCTGAACATGAAGACAATTATATAAATTAAGGATTGACAATTTATAAACTATTTGCTGTTTTTCACGATTGTTGTTAAATCTCAGATAATATCGACTAAAATTGAATTTGACAGAACATGATCCGTATTAAGGACTGAATGACGCTAAATAACTTATAGAAAGAGATTCAACCTGTTTAGTCCAATTATTAATAACATGTGGTGACATTAGTTCGGATTCAGTTTCTTTGATCAGATCTTTACTCAGTGAAACGTTTGGTTGTTTTACTGACGTGTTGGTTTGTACATGAAGGAGTGAAGATGTGCCGTTCACACTTTCTGGCTGAATTTATTCATTTCATCACATTGAACAAAGTCCCTGTTAAACATGATGTGCACTGTACGGTGTGCGCCTGTGACCTTCCATTATTTAAACCTGTATTTAACTCTTTACGGCCGTGTTTCCTCGTGGCCGCCTGGTTTTCGCCGTTCTTTCTGGGTTTTACGGTGAACTTTGTTTCCTTCTCTCTGCTCCGCCTCTTTCCCTCCATCACTTCCACCAACTCGTCCTCTGACCTCCTGAACGTCCCACCTTGACCTCTGACCTCCGACCCTGAACCCGAGGAGTCGCCTCGCCGACGAAAAACAAAAACCCGAAACAAACACAGAAACTTGGCGCTTTCGCCCAACGACACAATAACACTGATTGGTGTTGTCGTGACGACCGAGGCGACGGGATAATCAATGTGAGTGTTTGTCGCCTCCCGCTGCTGCGTGTGTGTGTGTGTGTGTGTGTGTGTGTGTGTGTGTGTGTGTGTGTGTGTGTGTCGGCTGATGAATTGAGTCATTTAGGAGAGTGTGTGCTGATTAATCCGGGCAGAGTGTTAATACAGGAGATGGAGCAGATTAAATGGCGTACATTAACAAATACTGCCGCCCCTTAAACACACTCCAGGCCTCGCCGTGTGTGTCTGTGTGTGTGTGTGTCTGTCTGTCTGTGGTTGTGTGTCTGTTTGTGTGTGTGTGTGTGTGTGTGTGTGTGTGTCTGTGGTTGTGTATCTGTTTGCGTCTCACTGTTGGCCAGAAGCTGCTGCTGCTGCTGCTGCTGCTGGAGCTGCTGCTGCTGATTGACAGCCGATAAGGCCGGCCGACTCCCACCTCCTCCTCCTCCGCCTCCTCCTCCAGCTCCTCCTCCTCCTCCGGACGCCGGAGCGCCGCCGTGAGCTCCGGCGGGGGGGCTGGTCAGACGCTCCTTGTCCCAGGAACACTCGCTGCCTCCTGGGGACAGACGGACAGACGGACACCGGCGGGTTTTTACTCGTGAGCCATTCAGGACGCCAAACCGGGTTCTGTGAAGTGTTCTGTCTGGATTCTGAGAAGTTCTGATGGTGTCAGAGCTGCACTATAACACGTTTTAATTACTGCTCTTTAAAACGGCGTCCCGGGTCTTCATCAGAATCAGAACACACTCAAACTGAACCCGAACCAGGTGGACGAGCATCATTGGTTAATTGGTTGAGTGATTCTATTGGACAACGAATCCAGAGGCGGGAGTTGCCACGGCGACACCAGAAACACAAAACAGTTTTTATGGGATTTCTTTCTGAACACATGACTCTTGTTTCACAGACGCGTCCTGTTTTGCTCACAAACACATTTTATCGAGTAAAACCACAAAAAAAACAGAATAAAAAATCATCATTTGCTCTTTTACAACATTTCCCCGAAACATGACACCAAATTCCTGCATTAACATCAACAAATAAATTATTATTTTACAGATAATGAAAAACAAAGGATTGAAAATATTAATTAATCACATTTTACTTTATCATTTATTTGGTTAAATAACATAAAACATCGACTGAAATCCCAGGAAATTAAACTCATGATAATAAAACAGGACAACGTGTCAATAAAATCCGTCGTCGTGCATTTAAATCTGTAAAAAACATTTATTTTCTTTTTTTTGTCGCCGTTTTTGGACGTTGCAGGATGAGTTCTACATCTTTAAACTTGTAGATTTCATATTTTTTTGCAGTGTGAGTCCAGCTGACTCCGGTGGAGGCTGGAAACCTCATTCGTGCCTTAAACTAAAGGTTCTGGTACCGCCGGCGATGAGGAGGCGGGTTTGGCGGGTTTGCTCTGGGCTGCCTCTCCTCCAGCCTCGCTCCGCTCCTCCTCATCCATCTTCATCTCCCTCCATTAGTCTGAATTAGCGAGCGTCTCTCTCTATTATTGCTGCTGAACTCCCAGAGCTGCTCACACACGAGATGACAGCTGGGCTTCATCTCCGCTGGTCCACCAGGGAGCAGGACCAGCACACGGCCAGATGTTCTCCTCCACCTCCCTCCTTCAGCCTCCCGTTCCTTCCTTCCTTCTTTCTTTCTTTCTTTCTTTCTTTCTTTCTTTCCTTCTTTCCTTCTCTTCTCTCTGATTCAGCTCCTCAGACTCATTCAGGTTTTTCGTCTCTTTTCTCTTCCTGTTTCTGTTTAAAGGACGAGTTAGAATCATGTTCAACATCCACAAAGTCGCTGTTCGTACTGCACTGGAGCAAAACAACAAAATCAAATCAAATCAAATCAAATCAGATAAAAGCTGTGGGATGCTGTGATGTTCAAAAGCTCTGAAAAATGTAAAGTTTCTAATTTACTTAATTTTTTATTTCAATTAACAGCAATTTTTTTTTTTTTTTGCTGATTTAAATAAAATAAAATAGTATAATTTAATTTTTTTAATTTTAATTTGTAAAAGAAATCATTTGTAAAGACACAGATTTCTTTTTTTTATTTATTTTTACACTTTTTAAAGATATTTTAATCCTTACTTTACATCGTTTTCTCCAAGTACAGGCAAAGATTTGTAAATTAATCCTTTTTGCTCATTTAAATACAGTAAAAATACGGATTTCTTCTTGTTCATTCATTCAGATTTTTTTGCTGCTATTTCACTAAATTTTATCTGTAATTGAACTAAACTGGACTTTTTGAATCCTTAGTACACTTAGTTGTTCCTAAAGTATTATTTACAGCAGATTTATAAACAGTACAAACTAATTTTATGCTCACAAAATAAACTAAAAATACAAATAATAATAATTCCCAACGTGTTTTTCTACATCTTGTCTGTCATTAGATAAGAATCCAGTTTTCAGTCTTTCGTATCAAAACGTTTCCTGTTTAAATACACATCAGTCACTTAAAGGTGTTTGTTGCTGATTTAAATCCAGTAAAAGACAAAATTACTGTTTGTAGAATTACAGATTTATCAGGTGGGTTGTTTGATTTTACTGGAAATTATCTGTAAAAGAACAAAACAGGAAAAACGTGTCAAATACAGTCAGTTGGTTTGTTTAAGGTTTCAGTTAAAAACGTTCCTACAGCGTTAGACTAAAGTGATTCAGATTAAACGTCCACATTTTAAGCTTTTTGTTCTCTATAACAGTCCATGATGATGGGACGTTGTGTTTGTTCTTATTGTGAGATAGTTTCTGGTTTCTGTTTGTTTGTTTGTTTGTTTGTTTGTTTGTTTGTTTGTTTGTTGTTTTTGGCAGCAGATCCATCTACAGTGACTTTAAAGCGTCCTCCTCTCCAGGTACGACTTCACCAGGTCATATCAGAGCAAAGAACATTTTAATATTACTTCATCAGTAATCACAGCAGAAATGGATCAGAACCGACTTTCACAGCAGAACCATGCAGCGACGAAACCGTCCAGTGAAAGAGAAACTTATTTCCCAGAAGCTCAGTTCTGGTTCCCAGATCACAAATGAGTAACTTCCTGGTTAGACGAAGACTCAGCGGCCGGTTTAATCTGTAACTGTTGGAGGACGAACGACGTCCAGACGTGTTGGAGACGAGTCCACCGGGCCGTCCTCCTCGGACACATGGATCATCTGGGTTTCCTTCTTTCTACACAGAATACAAACTGAACACGTGAGAGCTTCGGCGTCCGACGCCTCGCCGCCCTACATACCCGTCCTCTCATTACGCTCTGCCTCCGTCCTCCCGTCGCTTTATTTGCTTTTCGTGTCGTCGCTCTGCCCCATTGTCCTCGGCAGTTTCCCAGGCCGGTGTGAGTGTCTCCCACAAAGGGAATCGGGTCGGACAATGAAAAGGAGGCTCGCGCAAAAATCACTCTGAATGAAATAAAAGAAGACGGAGCGACGGAGAGGAGGAGGGAATAAATAAAAAACGACAGGGAGAGTAACTCTATCGGCCCATTTGCCAGGTCAGCTGAAGAAAAGCAAAGTGGAAACAGGAGATCGAGGCTGGAAACAGAAGGACGGAGGCGACGCTCGCCTTTCTTCTGCTTTTTGTTTTCTGTCCTTTCAATAATTCAGACACTAGCAGAGATTGAGTGAACCGGAAAACATGCGTCTTTGTTTTCACGCGAAAAAAGAAGAAAAAAAACAAAAACGCTCCAGTTTCTGATTGTCGGGATCCAAACGTCCAGTTTCTGTCGCCGCAAACGGAGAAAATAAGAACCAGCAGCATGAAACCCATCAGCTGGTTCTGGTTCTACACTCACTCCATCTGATGACCAGAGTTCTACAGAGGAGGCTCCAGACTGATCACCTTCATGGTCCATCAGTGCAGCAGACAGACACATGACACGTTCAAATGTGGGTAAAACGGTCCTTCCATCGTCTAGAACTGGTTCTGACCGTCACACATGCTGATACCAGCCTGGAAAGTTTACCCTCTTTAAAGGTCACATGACTTTGCGCTGTGAATTAGTCTCCCGGGTCAGACAGAGGACCCAGTATAGAACCCTGTGGAACACCACATCAACATTTCTGCTCCAGATCCGTTTCTTCTCCGGATCGCTCGTTCAAAATCCTCGTTTCTTTTTTCGCAGCTCAAACATAAAACTGAAGACGGGAGAGAAAAGTCGGATCCGCCGATGAAGCTCGACCCGACGGTGAGCGTCTCTGACGTCTTTCTGTGGCGCTGGTCGGCTCTTTGTCGGCTTCGGATGGAACAAAACCAGCAGCATCTCCTCAGAATCAGCTGGTTCTGGATCCACTCTAACGTTAGTACCGGCCTGAGCAGAAGGTCCACGTTGTGCACTTTTGAACTTTTCCAGCATTTCTGAGCTCATTTTTGGTGTAAACACTAAATTCCTGATGTAAATATTAAAGAAACATTCGATTGGACGGATTTACTAGCATTCATGAACGTAGAGACAAACAATCCGGAAGAAAAAACATAAAACCACGAATGTTCTGAGGCAGGTCTGGAGCCACGAGGAGGTTTTTTAGTCGCTAATCATCAGCAGAATAAAAAGTTCCTCAGACATAAACGTTCTCCATAATGCAGTCATAACCAGTTTGCTTTTAACACCTGAGCTCCTGCAGGAGGTCATTCACCTCCACGGACTCATCGTCATGGTGCCCGTAGCTGCTAGACTCCCCCTGGTGGAACAACCAGGTACTGCAGCTCATCTACGCTACGTTACTGACGTATAATATATTCGGATTCTGAACAACAATTATATGATGAACTGATAAATGTTGACCTCTCTGGTACCTGTACAGGTGTGTTTCATATGTGTGTTTTGTGTACGTTTCGTGTGTTGTGTGTGTTTGTGTGTGTGTGTGTGTCTGTGTGTGTGTGTGTTTGTGTGTGTGTGTGCTACCTGTGTTGGAGTGCAGGTCGTCGTTGTCGGACTCGTTGCCGTTCTGCAGACTCATCATCATCTTCATCTTCTGGAGCTTCTGGAGTTCAGCCATGGCTGCTGCTGTCAGGCCTGCAACACACACACACACACACACACACACACACACTGTTAGCATCGTCGCTAACAATCATCTCCACCTTCATTCAGTTTGTGAATCGATATCATCAGCCGCCCTAAAACCCGTCCACTCCTCTGTTCCTCACAGCCGACCAATCACAGCCCTGCTTGCCAGCCCGCACAGGTGTTGCCCGCCGCTACCCATGATGCTTTGCAGCGAGCCGTGACACACACACACACACACACACACACACACACACACACGCTGACTGCTATCGAATTGTCTTTGAGTGTTTTGCTGAAACGTTTCGGTGAGTTTCAGACGCCTCGGGCCTGGTGTGTTTTCACTGATACACAACAAAAACCAAACACACACACACACAAACAAAGAACACACCCCCGCCGCGACACACACACACACACACACACACACTCTCTCTCTCTCTCTTTTGTATGGACTAAGATCCCTGGCTCTGTGCACTGACCTGGAACTGACTTCTATACACAACAACCAGCAGAGTGAGAGAGATGACCCTGTGTGTGTGTGTGTGTGTGTGTGTGTGTGTGTGTGTGTGTTTATTGTGCGAAACACCACCGTTTTGTGTGTGAGTGTGTGTGCACGTGAGCTTTTGCATTGTGCTGAGTGTGTATGTACAGTTGGCTTTCATGT